CTCCACCCTAAGGGTTTAAAGTTTTAAAGCAGGGTGGGTGGCGGCCTTGACTGGGTGCTGGTGCAGGATCTATGAGGAGCAGGGACGTGCGAGCCAGCGCCTGACCCAGGATCCGGTGAGGCAGCTGCATCTGCCAGATCTGTCTGAATGAGCTCTCACCCTCATTCACTTTCATCTTGACCAGGATTTTGATAAAATTAGTCATTGCATGATTTATTTAGCGATAGAATCCATCTTTTTCTATGCCCCAAAGAAACCTGACTTGTAATTCTAATCAAAGAGAAGAACTTGGCAGGAATGAGGTCCAGGCTGGAAGAGGCCATGGAGCAGAGCGGAGGGGCCAGCACTGCAGAGCCGAGCTGGCCAGACCCCCGCCTAGGAGGTGGCAGGAGCCCCAGGCACTCAGCACTGGTGACAGTCCTTGCTCACCCAGAGGCAGGAGGCTGCGGTTCTCTTCCCTATTTATACTGTCCCCTGGGTGTCAGTGACTAGGCAGAGTCTGAGGCTCCTGAGACGCCAGGGAACGCTGCTCCTAATTAGGGCAGGACCAGATGAGGGGAGAAGAGGGAGATGACTCCTGTCTGGAGACCTGAGCGCTTCTAAACAGGCTGGTGGTGACCTGTGCATCTTCATTCATATTTGTAGGTTAAGGAGGAGTGGCGTATGTTTTATAGGGACTGGAGTTGAACACGTTCGTGTGTGTGGGGGGGAGGGGCCGGGGGGGAGGCGGAGAGGGAGAGGGAGGGAGATTGTGAGAGGGGGACTGGCCAGGGAGGTGGCTATCTTAATTTCAAAACACATAGAAGAATGGTGGATTATTAAATAAAAAGAGGCTAGATTATTCATGACCAAATGTTATTACCGATTATTCAGGTAAATACTGGCTAATTTCCAAACCTGCTTTAGGAAGATTTTTAAGAAGTGGTAATAGTGAGTTATGTCTAGGATTTTCATTAGCAGATTGAGATCCCAGCTCAGTTTGCTCCCTACATCAAATACTTTTCATGTAACTATTCTGTGCCTGATCCTGTTGGGTGATGTGGGTTTTAAAGGAAATATTGGTTTGCAATTCCTGCCCTACAGGAACTTATCAACTTGTTGAAGAGACAAGACTTATACAAATGAAACAAATTTGGGGAAAATTAAAAGGCTGGTTTTAGGAAAGTACTAGGGTTTTGTCGCCTGAGAGTTGTATGTACTGTGGTGTCGGCAGCTACGGTCACAGCTTGAAGGCTGTGCACCTGGCATCTGGATGCCTGGAGGAGAACCCCTGGATGCATTTGCCGGTTTGTACAGCTTTGCATGTCACACACGTAGTCATTATCTGAGCCACTGTTTGTGGGTGCATCTCCATCACAGCATGTGGATATCAAGTCTTATGACATGGGGCTGCTTGGAGATGCTCCATCAGGCACTCGTTCTGGGAGGATGTCAGCTGGCTGCCTGACCCGGGAGAGGTCAAGTGACTTCATAGTCTCATCCCCAGCTGCAGAGCGGGACAGTGTAACCCCCAACCTCAGTTGGTGGTGTAACAGGAGGGATGGAGTGTGGGAGCTTCTCCAGTGTGTTACTCATCGTCTCAGCCTCAGCGTTCTCTCTGCCTTGGCCCTTACCTGCTCTCTCCAGCTCCCTATCGCACCTGCTCCTTAGGTCTAGAGATACCCCTGAGGTCTATCATCACTCTCCCTCTGATCCCATGGCTCCCTCGGGTCCTGATCTGCGGCCCTGCCCTCGCTCCTCAGCCTAGATCCTAACCTCTCCCTGAATGTCCTGCAGGCTCACAGGTCAGCTTTGCTTTCCTCCGTGATGCCCCAGTTAAAGGCATTCCCTTCACAGGTCAGCCTTGACCCCTTTCCTTGTGCCTCTGTGCTGCCAGTCACCAGCCACAGGGCTGCCACTTACCCGTCTCAGATGCTGCTGGGATCCACCCTCTCATTTCCATTCCCACTGCTATCTCCCTAGCCCACACCCTGTTCACTCTCACCCAAACCAGTATTTCAAAATGTGCAGCATTACATATGTATTTTTTTTTTAGCAGTGAAACTCCACCTTTCCTCTGCCCTGAAGAAATCTCCATGTAGCTGTAAGCAGTAAGATTTACATAGAGCAGCTGTTCTGGTTTTGGTGGTTTGTGGGCTTCTTTCTCTCTCTGGGGGAGCCCTGCCCAGCTTCTGCTCCACTCCTCCCCCACAGCGGCCCCCAGGCACCAGCACTAGGACTTTAAAGAGCAGGACATGAAAACCACACCTACCGTTTTGTGACAGCCTCCTAAGCCATCCTGCAGGGCCGCAGATCAGGACCTTCCTTCTTCACACGGTTATTTCTCTAAAATCCCCTCGATAACTGATCACAGTACATAGAATAAAGCCCGAACTCAGCACTCTCCTCAGCCTGACCCCAAATCATTTTTCCTTCTTCACGTCCTGCATTTGACCCCCTGCATTTGTCCACCGTGTGGTGGAGCCCTGCAGGGACACTTGGAATTCCCCAGCCCGAGGGCACTTTAAGCCTCCCTACTGCGCTTTGCTGTTCCCTCTACCAGGAATGCTTTTCCCTTTGCTCCTCTCCTTGGTGAAAAGCTGTGTAGTTCTCAGCTCTGGGTTAGATGTTGTTGCCTCCATGAAACCTTTCTTGAACTTTCTTCTTATCGTCACACACAATTTGTCACTCCTTCTTTGCTCCTATGACATTCTGATTATACTTAAAAAAGTTTTTTTTTTTTTTTTTCACTTATCTCACTGCATTATAGTCACACTAAGGGCAGGGACAATGTCTTATTTATTTTTGAGTCTCCAAAGCACCCAGCCCAGCACCCAGTCTGCAACGGGCATTCATTCTATGTTTGTTAAATAAACAAACAACTGAATAAATGAATTAATTGACATGCTCATTAAAGCCCAGATGGGCAGGGCACCAAGGCATCATTTGCCTCACCTGTCACTGGCTCATCATTCTTAAGAAGAGCCAGGCTGTGGGGCTCTGTTTCAGCCTTGGCAGTGTCAAGCAGCCTTGTGAAAATGGAGTGGTTCTGAGAATGGTGAGGCTGAGCTGTGTCTGGTTCCCAGGAAGTTACTCCTTTCCCTGTAGCTCTGAATCCTTTTGTCATGTTCCAGAACCTACACTTCTGGACTGCAGCTGGAGGGATTTAAGGAGCACTGTTCGGCATCCTCTGCCTAAGTCAGGTAGCTGGCCTCCTGCGGGACTGGGTTCCAAGATCCCTTCCCCCGTTGCCTTGGTTCACTCCTTGGTTCACTGGTTGGCTCTCCCAAGTCTGAGTCCTTGACTGGTAGCCTGACCTGTACCCCACCATCTAAGCGCTGGAGCCTCTCCCCTGCTGGGAGGGTTCCTGCTGTCGAACCCCAATTTGGAGACTGGGACTTTGCTTCCTATTGTAAGATTTCCTGAGGGCCCACTTCTGAGTTTCTCATGTTTGTTTAAATCTTCACAGTTACCTTCAGCCCACCTGTCATTTACTCGTCTCTCTCCTTCCTGGGTGCTAGGCATCTTCAGCCTGTCCTCATTTGCCATTCCTCATGACACACCTGCAGATGTGTTTGCCACCCCATGGCTCTGGGGCATTCTAGCTGTCTAAGAAAATGGCATCACTCACCGTCCAGGTGGAAAGCCGGAGAGCTTCTACCTTCTTCATAGTTTTGAATAGCATACTTTTCTTCAGCTCCACACCATCATTCTAATCCTGATACCTATCATGTCTCACCTGAGTTAACTCAGTTGCATTTTAATGAATCCCCCAGATCCACTCTTGACCCCTCTCAAGCATCTGCCACACTTTAGCTGGAGAGATCTTTAAAGGTGTGACACTGTTCACGTCGCTTCGCAGTCCTGCTTAAAACCCTTCCACGTTGTACCTTGCTGTTAGGAATGAAAACCATATTTCTAAATAATGTTAGGAAACACGGCCTATGAAGCCATGTGGGTCTGACCCCAGCTTCTCTTTTACACTCTGGCCAGTGTTCCCTTTCTTCAGTGCATATACACCCTGCTTCCTCCCACCACAGGGCCTTTGAGTGTGTTGTTCCCTTTGCCTGGAACTCTGTTTTCTTTCAGCATAAAGCTCAAGCACCCCTTCTTCACAGTGCCTATGTGATGCCTGCCCCCATTAGATCTCAAGGCTCCCTGAACTCCCCCTTTATAACATTTACCACAAATATAGAGTCATTCGTTAATGTGTTTCCGTCCATGGACTCCAGTGAAGTCCAAGGACAGGGACCATGTCTGTGCTGCTCACAGTTTTATTGAGCCCTGCGATTAGTATGGAGTCGGTGCTTTATACATATTATTAGATGAAGAGAAGAGCCCCAGAGTGACCCTATCTGTCCGGCCCCACGGAAGTTAGCCAGGCTGTGCACAAGCATATCTTAGGTGTGACAGTCTGCTACTCATCTCCTCCGTAGGCCCACGCATTTACCTTATGAAGGGTAAATCATAAAACCAGCATACAAAAAGAGGCTACTGAAATTCTTACTTGACATCCTGCATTATTCATTGAAACTCCTTGGATATGCATATTTACCACTTAATTTTCTTGTTGTAAGGAATTCAATAGATATTACGTACCATTGTACTTTAAATTTACTGGGCTTCCTTGAATTCAGTGCCAGTAAAAAGTTCATCGCTTCATGTTAATTGTCTTTCTTTTAATCATGTGAGCTATAGTCCTTATGGATTTCTTTTTGTTTTGTTTTGTTTTAGCTGCCAGGGATGTCAGTGCTCTATTTCATGTTTAACAGTAAAATTATCTCTGCTCAGGTGTCTGATTACATCTCTTCTCTGTTGTTTTTAAAGTGATTTTAAATTGTCCTATTGTGCTATGCTTAATTATTAAAGACAATACAGACCTTTTATAGAAATATATTCATGCATTACATTATATATTATGTAACATATTTTATTTATGTTATGCTAATAGATATGGTATATGTACTATATAATATGTGTATTATAAAACCCTTACACTCCTTTTTTTTTTTATACCATAGAGATAGCAATCCATATTCTTCATTTGGAGCAACTCTGGCGAGGGATGACGAGAAGAATTTGTGGAGCATGCCTCATGATGTGTCGCACACGGAGGCGGACGATGACAGAATCCTGTACAATCTGCTAGTCGTTCGTAATCAGCAGGCCACAGATTCGGAGGTAAGCACCTTTTGAGATTTTGCTGTGTGCAGGTGACAGTGTCTGTTAAAAAACAGCAATGACCGAGAAGACCCGCTTATGATAAAAAAAAGATGAAGGATGAGATGTTTGAAATGAAGGGCAGATATTTTAGTAGCATGTAGCTGCTAATTGTAGCTGGTCTTGGTAGACCTGCTTGATTAAACAGATAAGACTGATTTCTAGTTATTACTTTAATGATCCAAATTACAATAATACAGAAACAGCAAGGCAGTGCTGTTGAAGATCGTGAAGATAGTTTATCATCCTCAAAGACTTAACCAGTTCATCTGTAGTCTTTCCAGTAGTTTAGCAAGCCACAGTTAGAAGATTCAGACTGAAGGTTGGAGGGTACTTTGCATTTTCACTAATTCTGAATTAGTAGGGCCTGACTTCATTTTTATTGTTTTTTTTTTTTTCATTTTATTTTACTTTTTTCTGTTTATAGCTTCTTAAATTGTGCCTATGGATCAGATAGCAGCGTATCGCTATATTTGAGATGATTTTTGTGATAAGGCTTGAAACCACTCTTCATGAACTCTTAATCCAAATTATTGGTATGGAATACTAGAATATTGAAATAAGGACTTAATAAGTTAAGAGAAAATAGCAAAGAGGATCATGTTTTCTCCTTTATTTCAAAAGTAGCATTATAGTACTACATATAATGCAATATAATATAATATTATGGGTATCATTTTCCAATCTAGATTTTCTTTCTGACTTTTGAGGTCACCAGTTAGCCCTGAGTAGACACCTGTATTTTCTTCCCCAAATTTGAGATGCATATAAAACATATATTACTGGATCTATTCATTACATACTGTTCTGCACCTTGCTTTATCCCCCCCACTTAATAATATACTTCGGACAATTTTTCATTTCAATATGTTTAGACTTACCTTTTTGCTTTTGGGAGCCCTCTAGTATTCTCTTGGATGGATTTACCATCATGTGATCAACTAGCCCCTATGGATCATTAGGTTGATTCAGGTTTTTTGCTATTAGAAGCAATGCTGCAGTAGCTATTCATGCATACTCTATGACCTTCCATAGATTTTTTTCAGGCTTTAAGAGAGGAGAGGAGGTATCTGAAAAATGCAAAGAGGAAGGCTTGCAGAAATGACCGACTCAGCCATTATAGATTAACCACACCCTATAGATCTCTAAATGGCCTTCTGGAAACTCTTGCTACACCTACAAGATAAACGATCTGTAAATAGATAGGACCAGTGGTCTGGGAATTCCTTCCCCCTTGCAGCCCCCACCTGAAACTCCCCCTCCCATTCTGAGTCATGACCTCATTTGGTCACGACTGAGTCAATTCCACAAAGAACCTCAGACAAAGGAATCACGCACCCCTTGCATGGACACTGCAAAGGTATATAAACTATAAGAAATCTAACCAAGGGGAACTTGTGCTTTGGTGCTGTTAAGCCCCACATGCTCCGCTGGCTAATAAATTCTCCTTTCTCTAACAAAGTTGTTTGAGCATCCAGATCCCTCCATTGGGTGTCACTTCCTGCAACAGCTTGACCAGAGAGTGTGTGCGTTGAAAATGGAATTGTCACAGAACTTCCTCGGAGGAACCTAGGAAAAGCGCTTCAGGGTACAGAACTGAATAGCATTGGAAGCTCACACTGTTTTTAAGGGGAGCAGCTGCTGAGCTCCAGATAGCTGTTTGCTATGCTGAGAACGTAGATCTGAGAACTTTTGATTTTTAAGAGAAGCTGAAAATCCAAATTTACACATTAAATGTCCAGGTTTTTAAATGATAACTCATATTAAAAAAAAAATATATCAGCTGAACAAAATATGTTTGTGGGCTACTGATCTATAAGGAACATTTACAACAAAGATTACTACTACTTATTGTTACTATGTCCAGTATGATTGAAAAGTGAACTTGCCATGAATTTAGAAGGTAGGAGTGGGAAGCTAGTGAGAGATGTTTTAAATTTGAATGTTTCACATCTATGAACATTGCTTATTTCCTTTTTCACACAGGATGAAATTGGTACAAATTTTAATAAAACAGAGGCTTTTAGTTTTGAAACAAAAATTCTGCCCACTAAAGGAACAAGAAACCCTAGATATTTTTGCATAATACTCTTTAAAAGCTCAAACAAGGTATTAACATGATGTTTTTTCTTGAGTAGCAATAGCATGGGAAGACCTAGGAACATCCATATTTAGAGTTCTTTAAAAAATGAAAAAGAATTTCGAAACAATGTATGTACTACTTATCTATATTTTCTTATTGAATCTGAAGCTGGTGGAGGAAGAGCTACAAATAGTTAAGGCTAAATTTGCAGGATTTTTCCCCCTTAAATTGAAAAAAAATTCAGAAAAGAAGACATATTAGAAAGTGGATAATGAAGCAGACACATGAACTTAAAGTAACTTGCAGTGTCAGAAAATGTAAAGAGGAACATTATTGAAATCTAATAAAATCCACTTTTCATTTACACAATCTTCGAAAGCTAATGGACTTTTAGCAGAAGTGATGCATTTGCAGACCTCCACGTAGTAGAAAAGTTATTGCATTTGTCTTCGAATGATGTCATGAAATACTTTTTGTTTGACTAAGCAATAGTAAACAACCTCAAAATTATGGCACTAAATCCTTATCCTTCTCATTAAACTAGTTGTACTTCACATAAGACATTCTGTTCCTAGGGAGCTTCATAGTGGTTAATGAAATATCACCGCACCTTATTTATTTATTTGCGTAAGTAATTTTAATTCTACTGAGCTATCTTGCCCTCAAAAATTTTAATAATAATGAAAATAGTGCCAGATACTGTTCAACCACTTTATATATGTTTACTATGCCCTCTCACAACCCAGTGACATAGGTACCGTTATTATTTCTATTCGAAGCAATTTGTCCAAGGCGAAAGCTGAAAGTGTGGAGCCAGGATTTGAATCTGGGCTTTGTGAATCCAGAGACATAATATATAATGAGCACCATGAAGGATATTGTATGCGATTCAATATAGATTAAAAAATGCATGAGCAGAGTCTGTTCAAAGCCTGTTTCTGCGGCTTGCCGATGCCAATGATAGGAAAGGCATTCTCACCTCATGGGAACGAGAACTGTGTTTGCTTGAGATTGTGCTCGTGTTTCAGGCAGTGTTCCCAGTTGGAACATAACACACCTTTCCCAAGTTATGTTTTTCCACGGTGACTGCAGCCCATTGTGACTCCTTCTCCGGGTTTCTGTTTTATTAGCTCCAAGATGTTTCATCTTTCTCCTTCACTTTGGCTAGTGTCCTCTGACCTCTGTTAATTGGTGTCCCTTCCAGTGGTTGGGTAACAGTGCCTTTAGGAGTCAACAGTTTTACTCTGCTTTTGAAAAGGACTTTTACATTTTCGATTAAGAAGGTGAATGCTAAAAATTAAATCATTCTCATCAACGTGTATAAGCACCATTTTCGTTCAAAGTAGGTGATGTTTATTTGGCATAATCGGTGATAGAAATTCTATGTTTTTTTAAAAAAGTTATTAAATCATCACGTGCTCAGAAATGTATGTAGTTCTCACGACGAGTGTCTGCCTCGGTGCCACTGAGCAATACCGGGTCCACATAAACGCCAGATCAGATGCTTGTGTGGCTAGAGTGAGCCGGTGAAAATCATACTCTACTGTACCCTGGGGAACAGGCAAGTGTTATTATTTTTTTAAAACGGTAGAGGCAAAAACATGCAATGTTCCTGGTTTACAATTTACAGTTTGCTTTTCTGTGTGTCGGGACTCCCTCCTGGCGGAGTGTAGCCAGGCATTGTAAACAGTTGCTATCACATGTTTAAAACAGCTGCAGACATCCCAGGGGCTGTTTGCAGTGCATGCGTTAGACACTTAGTCTGTCATATCCCTAGCACCGAAAGAAAGGATGAAACAGAGTTGACTGGAACGTTCAGTTGGAGGAGGTAAAAAAGTGGGAGAGATGTTTGAATTGATCGTGTACCAGCCGCTGACTCAGACAAGGCATTCCAGTTCAGCTCTGCATTACTCCGTCTCAGGTCTTCACGCACTGGACAAGGCCTGCATCCAGTTTCTCTGCATGTGAGCGAACATTGGCTACTGTAAGACATAGGACTGCAAGTTTTCCACCAAGCATGAAGGAGCAAAATAACAGGGGAAAGCGAAGCAGTTCTCGAGATAATTCTGGGTCCCTCCAAAGGCCTTTTTCTCTGGGGTCCAGATGATCTGGATTGTTGAATGCAACCATTCTGTTTCGCTTTGCTAGTGACTGGGTTAGAGGGGGAGAGGATAAAAATGCTTATTAGGATCTGAGAATCCAGTGATCTTACCATCTGTTTTTTAGGTAATGGTATTTGTTTTTATGCTCTGTGCTAAGCAGTGTGCTGCATTTTCTTCAGACACATGCCAAATCCTCACAGTGACCCTGCGAAAGAGGCATTTTGACACATAAGAATAGAAGCTTTCAGTTGTCTGTACCAAGCCTTGGAAGAAATGAGCGGGAGAACTGAGATTGTAGCTCAGTCCGCATGACTGGGAACCCTATGTGACGAAACACTGCCCCAGGCTGTCTGGTGACTGTAGGAAAGGCCTCAGTGGAATCTTTTGGTCAAAGAGAAAGTTACCAAATAGATGTCGACTTTCTGCCTCAAGTGGAAACTTTGTCTTTGTTCTTGTTGACCATTACCCTGCGTCAGCTGAATTACAGAGTGATTTTGCTGTTTAGTGTCAACCTGTGTTGGGCACTGCAGGTAACGTGCTTCAGATGCTGGTGCTTTAGGAATTTTTAACACCCCAGGTACCACTCTGGGTATGAAAATCCATTGTACCATACCAAAGGATATTCTGTTTGATACACACACACACACACACACACACACACACACACACTTATAGATATTGGTATTAAAATAATCAGTGTTTCTTACTAGGTAGGTAGCATGTCAGAGCTACCTACGTGCAGAGTTGAGACAATAAATATTAAGCTTGATGTAGGC